TTCCAAAATTATATCAAATTTTCAACTGCAATTAAATTTGGAAATAACAACTACTGCGCTTATTTAATTTCGTTGGCCCTGGACGGCAGCTTTTATAGCGCTTAGAAAATCAAAGAAAAAATAGTAAACTAAAAGGAACGAAAACGAAACACCGACCATTTTCATGATTCTTATTTTACAAAAAAAAATATAAATTTTTTCAATGTCTGTTTTATTTGTTATTTTTTTTTCTTTATTTCTTATCTTTATTCAACGATATTGCTCATCTTTGTAGTTCATCTTTGCGGATATTGCAAGAAACCAGCAATTAAGTTGCACAACAAGCTAAAGGAAATAATCAAAAACTGATGCTAAAAAAGCAAAAAAAAAAAATATTAAAAAATTAAACAGACCAAAAAATATACGTTTTTTTTATTTTTCTCCAATATAGCTTAGCTTAAGATAGGTTAAGGGAAGTAAAAAAGTTGAAAATACACATATTTTAAATTCGAACTTTTGCGTAAAAAGGTGAGCTCTTGTTTTGGTAAATTAAAAATAAAATTTGGAATACTAATATTTTTTGCTAATAAATTTAAAGTTCTTAGAAAATTTGAGTTCTATGTTATTTATATAATATTTAAGTTCTATTTAGTATAAATATATATATATATATTATAACAGTGAAATTAGTTACTGCTCCAAAAACTCAAAAACATTAGCACTTATTCGATGAAACTCATCATAGAGAACGATTTTCTTGCGGGAAATGTAATTGAGAGTGGTCTATTCCAAAAAATATTATTTATGGTTCGCATAAATATATAAACATTTAGGGTACTTTTTATTGGAAATGGCCCATGATCCATAACACCATAAATGTCTTCATAAGTGGATATAAGGTACTCTATAAGAAGGCAAATGATTTAATAAGCGCTTCCGGTAAAAACCAGGCTCTCTCTCTCATTTTGATGAAATAAAAACAAATTGTCTCCATATGAAAAAAAAAAATTCTCCCAAAGATGCACATGGTTTATATTTCTACCCTTATGTATGTTCTAAAAAATTGTTGAAAAAAATATAATAATAATAAAATTGTATTAATTGAGATCAAAAGAGAAGGAAAAGTTGAGCCGGGCACTAACTTATGCGAAAAAAAAAAATCATTTTCATGATTCGATTTACTTGAAACGTAATGGATTTTTAGCTCTTCGCTCGGACTAACATGCTTCAAAAGCATGTTTTTCTTGGTAATGGCCCAGAAACCGATCTATACGGGAAAATCGTCATTGCTGTTTGTTCTAGCGTCTGAAAACTTATCTACTACCACCATATCGCTGTATACTCCGATTCTGTGCAAATAAATCACATAGCAATTTGAACTATTTATGTTTCATTATCATTCTTGAGTTAATACAAAGATTGAAGCGAGGTGAAGTTCACCGGGTTCGCTTGTAGAGTAATAAAAGTTCGATATTTATAGAATACCTATATATATAATCTTTTTAATAATATTTCTTATTCATTGTACGCACGTGTATATAATTGAACTTCAATTCAATCGAATTTCAACTCTCAAAATAAAATTTGATTATGATTGAGCGAAACTACGATTAGTGTGACCTTCACGTAAGCTACTTTATCGTTTGCGGCAGAAGCAGCGGCAGCTTAAAAGTAAAGCAGATGCATTCAGAATCAATTTTTTATGCGTAATTAGATGTGCGATGTAAGTTCAAGCGCCCTGAAATAATTCAAATAATAGCCATTTTTACCCACTGTGGGTGACCAAAAGAAACACTAATGAGTAAAAAAAAACCTTAGCTCATTTATCATAATTTTATATTCTTCACTTTGACTTTGATTTCAACAAGTACTTATGTTTTTTCTCTTTTAATATTGTTTTTTTCTTTTTTTATGTTTGTTTTTTTTTTTGATGTTTGCTTAATTTTTTTATTATTATGATTTCTGGTGCTTCATCATCAACGCTATTGTTGTAGACATATAAGTACTTTTACTAACACATACCGATGTACGGCTTCACTGGACATAGGAGATAATTATGCGAATCATGCGATGCGCAATAAAAGTGCCATTATGATATTTTAAATGTGTCAAATTTATATAAATGAAAAGTATCAATGATTGAACCTTGAAATTTGCGTAAAATGATGCCATTTGAAGTTGTAATTGCAGCAAAAAAAAACCTTAGATATAGTTTTTACTTTTTAATGAATGAAATCATTGTAATAAATTTAAATTTTTCGGTTACTAAAACTTAATTCAGTTAGATTTTAACCTTGAGAGGGTTTTTCGGATATTAACCGTGTGGTATGCGAATTTTCTAATTCACTAAATTAAAATATTTGAGTTTCACTGTAAATTTAATTTAATTAAATTAGATTTTACTTAAATTTGTTAAAAAAAACTTTTTTTTTTGGTAATTTTTAGAGAAAACTTCGTCAAAGCTTCTTTAAAAAGCATTTTATGTTATTTTATTTAACTTTTGTTTTTTTTTGTAATTATATTTTATTATTTTACATTCAATTACATTTTATATTATTTTTTTGTTATATTTTCTTATATTATAATGAATTTTTATTCATTTGATTTAACTTCGAATTATTTAATTATTAAGATTTTTCATATTTTCTTCTCCTTTTAATGATTTATTTAATTTTACTTAAATTTATAACTTCATTTTATTATAGTTAATTTTAACTTATTTAATATCATTCCATATTAATTGAATTTATTTAATTTTTATGTCTTCATTTAAAAATTTTATGGTATTATTAATTTTATTTACGTTTTTAAACTTTAATTTTATATTATTTTTCATTTTTTATTTAATTTTGTTCTTTCTCATTTTAATTACTTTTAAATTATTTAATTTAATTTTTAATTAAAGTATGTTAGAATTTTTTAAATTTTATTTTCTTGTTTACTGACTTATTTATTTAATTAATTTTAATTTTCAACTATATTTTTTTAATTCACTTTAGTTAAATATATTTTATTTATTTCTTTTAGATTATTTGAATTAGTATGTATGTATTTGTATTTTAGTTCTTAATTTAATCTAATTTATTATATTTTTTGTTTAATTTTTTATTTTGTTAATTTAGTGTTATTATGTTTTATTAAAATTTTATTTGTTTTATTATGCTTCGTCTAACATTTGAAATTTCATTTATTTTTTTTGGGGTTTTTCGTCATCAAACTTCTTTTTCTAGACGCCTTTGCTCAAACAGGATTTGAACTTGGGATGCCCACAGCACGAGCCAATCCCATTAAGCTGCATTCATTTATTTTTCTACTTGACAAAATGATGAGTTTAAATTTATTTTAAAACTTTTTTTGATGTAATTTCTTTTAGCTTTTTTAAGTTTATTTTATTTCCTTTATTTATTTTGTTCATTAATTTTAATTTATCTTATTGCATTTTTTTTATTTAACTTTTTAGTATTTATTTATTTATTACTTATTTTAAATTTTTTATTATTTATTTATTTTTTTATTGTCTTTTTTTATTTTACTTTTAATTATTTTGTTTTTTATATCTGCTTTTATTTTTTTTGATTTGTTTAATTTTACTTAATTTTATTACTTTTTACTTTTCTATTTTATTATATCTTCTCTGAGCATACGTTAGTTCATTTAATTTTATTTTTCTTATGAATTCTATTTTTTTATTTTACTCAATTTGATCTATTGTATTTTTTATTTTATTTTGTTAATATTATTTTAATTCTATCTTATGCTATTTATTTTAGTATTTTTATTTAAGTTATTATTATGTCGTTGCTTTAGTTTTGTTTATTTAATTTTCTTTTACCTTGTTTGTTTAATTTCATTTTCTTTTAATTTATGTAATTATCTTTTGGTATTTTACTTTTAAAATTATTTTAAATTTTTTTTGTTTTATTAATTCATTTAAATTTAATGTGTTTAAATTTATAACTTTTATTTTATATTATTTTATCGTAATTAATTTCAATTTATTTTAATTTCTTTATTTTATTATTTATTACTTCTATCGTATTTTTTATTTTCATTTGTTTCATTTTGTTTTATTTTATAAATTTCAATATACTCTGCCAATTTATATTATTATATATTTTTGCGATTACAATTATTTTTTAAGTAGCTCTTATTTTTTTATTTATTATTTATTATTCTTGTTTTATTTAACATAAAAATATTTTATTGAATTTATTTTTAAATTATTAAGTTTTTGATATTCTAATTTCTTTTTATTGGATAACTTCAATTTCTTTCATTTTATCTCCTTTATCTATTATTACTTTTCTTACTACTTAAATTTTTTCTTTAATTTAATTTATTTTATTTTATTATTTTATTTTATTTCAGCTTATTCAGTTTTATTTTATTTAAATTAATTATTATATATATTTTTTTAGTTTATTTATTGCATTATGTTTTATTTTATTTTATCTAAATTATATAATATGTTCTATTTTTTATTTTTATTTATTTCCCCAATTATTTCTTCATTTAACTTTTTATAATTTTGTTTATTTATTTTATTTTTTGATACTTATTTATTTTTTTCTATTATATTTAATTGTAATTAGATATTTGAACCTGGTTTCTTTTATTTCAATTTATTTAATATTATTTTTTTTTATTACTATTTTATTTATTATAAATTTTTTTTTATTCAATATAATATGATTTAACTTATTTTTTCATTTGCTTTAGCTTTATATGATTTTTATTTTAATTTGTTTTAAGATATGTTACTTGATTTTATTTTATTTTATATTATTTTATTTTATTATTTTTATTTTATTTTATTTTTATTTTATTATTTTTATTATGTAATACTCTATTTTAGCTTGCTTTATTATTTGATCTTTTTTATTTTTTTTTTTTTTTTCATCATATTTATTTATTTATTTAGTTGCTCATATCAAATATTTGTTTTTCTCTTTTAATTGATTCCACTTAAGTTCGATTTTATTAGTGCAATCCATGTAAGGTTAATATACGCCATAACTTACCACCTAAATAAGTTCCAGCCATAATGTTGAAATCCAATGCGGCGCCACACTTGTACACTATGCAACAAAGTAATCCAATTAAATTTGAGTTAAATACCAGAGAGCGTTAAACGGCAATCTTTACGAGAGATTAAAGTGATTTTTCACATGAAATTAAAACTGTAAAATCGATTTTATTTACTATTGTAATATTTTTCGTCGACTGTATGTATGTATATATTTATATACTGATATGTAACTGTTGTTTCACTTGTCACTTGTGCACACCTCAAGGATGCTCGCACCTTCAAGTAAGTACAATAACAAATAACACTACACATACACGTAAATAACACAGCAATCGTTAACGGTAAGGGCTGTAGCAATGACGGCTACACGTTTCCGCTCGTCACCTCTGTTGCAATTTAATTTCAGTTAATGATTTTCTAATTGTTTTGTGTTGTTAGTACAATACGTCTACTACTACAACAACAACGAACTGTTTTGCACACGCGGATGAAAACTTGAACGATTGAAATTTTCACAAGTACAAATTGTAGATTGTCATCGGTGTTGAGGGAGTTTCGGTTACTAGTTTTAACGGTTTAACAGTTATATATCTTTCGTTTTCAACGTTGATCGTTTGTTTGGTTTAAGCGTTACGACGCAACGTCGCTCAAGCGTGTAAAAATCAAATGCAAATACGCAGTTTAACTATGAAAGCATATGCGGCGTGGTTATTGTTGTTAAAAAGGCGTACACTCAAGCTGATATTGATGCTGAAAAGCATTTAGAATGTGCAACGAAACGCAACATGTACAAAATCGAGGAAAAGCGTTTTTTTTTAAATTTTTTTTTTTCAAAATTTTTATCTTTTAAAAAATTTGCAAGTAAACACATAAGCGCTTTTTGTAATTGACAGCTTAAGCGTACAACAACAAAAAATATGCGTACAAAGTCTTTACCGGTCGCACCTCTTCACAACAAACAAAACCTAAAGACCAACAGTAAATCACCTCACTCGCTATGGTGCGCGATGCACGACTTGATCGTTTATGAATTCAAAGCGGAATGATCTGTGGCAAACGAAAGGAAAACCACTTGGGCCCATCTCTGCGCGATCGCAGCGACCGCGTTCCAAGAGCTTCGTGTAAAAAACATCTTCAACGCTGCCGGCACGATGGCAGCAGTAGCGGCGCCAACGGAGATGACGACGCTGACAGCGTAGTTGGCAGCGGCACCGCACAAGCAAATCCCAAACGCAGCGACAACAGCAAAAACAGTTTTAGCTTTACAGCCTCGCAGTCAGCTGGCTGCAGCACACACACACACGCAAGCTCACTTCTCTGTGTGCCATTGTGCGCGTTGTGAGCTTGTTGCTTCTTCACAACTTGTGAATTGTTGCTGCTTACTTGCTTACTTACCTTTTAGTTTATTTTTGTACCATCATTGTTGTTGTTATTTTGCCTTTGTTGCTGCCTCACGAGCATTATGTTGTCTATGGGTGAAGTAGCTTCACTTTCAAGTGGAGATGTATGATTTTTTTATGTTGATATGTACTGTATGTAGATATGCATAGCTTTGTTGTTGTTTATGTATTTTATTGCAATTGCTGCCAACAACTGTTGGTTTTCTTGGCCCGTATAGAATATTCTAAAAGTGAAAGGAAAGTCGAGTTATGCAAGTAACCAGTATTTGTAAGTATGTAAGTGTGTATGTGTATTTTCAAGTGGCACCAAAGTGCATCGTGATCTAAAATGTGTAATGAAGCGTCGATAAAAATTCAAAATTCAATTCTAGGAAGCATTTTCAAGATATTCTAATGAGCTAAATTTAGTTTATTTACATAATCAAGGAAATGTCAAATTGTCATTTACATAGTTAAATTTAATAACTCAAATCCGATAATTAAGGGGGAAGCTGGTCAAGGATTTTGAAAAAATGGAAAAATTTTTGTTTGCCTTAAAAGGTGCTTTAGAGTCTTAGAAATAACATACCAAAAGCTGGATGACGACAAAAAGGTCTAACTGCCCAAATTTTTCATTTTTCAAATACGAATTTAATATGATTTTACAATACACTTACAACTTTAAGCGTGTTTTTCTCGAAATCATTTTTTTTTAACTGGCCGTAGACAAAACTCGAACAAACTTTCACAGATTCTTACTAAATTTTAACAGTATATTCAAAATACTGTTATCCAGAGACGTGAGTAGGATTTTTTTAGGCAACAATTTAATGTTGTTTTTATACTTAAAATTGTAACTTTTTGTTCCAACGTACACCATTTCACGAAAAGAAAAACGAAAAAATCCTATGTACTTCAATTGCTGTTGTTATATATTTAGAAACTAAAAAAAAATATTTGCTGATCCAGAACAAAAATTAAGGAGTTTACGTCGTCGGCCATGGATCCATTCGAAAAAACGCGTTGTACTATGAAATTTCTTTTATTAATCCTATTTCACAGATTTTCGATTGATTCCTTTGTTGAATCAGAATATATTCATAAAGTATTCCCATTTTTGCGCTCTAGACCAGGGGGGACCTTAAGAGATTTTAATGGATTAATTTTTGAAAATACAGTTTTTTTTTTCAAAACCAATGAGAATAATAAAATAATTTAAATGTTACGGAATAGGATGCTACTAAAATTGACTGACTTCGATAGGGACATAAGCTCTGCATGACAGTCGTACGATGCCGAAAATATTCGACACCAAGTAATTTACGCCAAGTAATTTACGCCACTTACGCAACATTTGCTGCCTCGATGGTGGTTATAATTTGTATTTGGTGGGATCAGCTCGGTTTGATTTATTACGAGCTCTTAAAACCGGGTGAAACCAGCACAGGAGATCGCTACCGAACCCAACTGATGTGCCTTAGTCGCGCGCTAAAAGAAAAGCGGCCACAATATCAAGAGCGACATGACAAAGTCATCCTCCAACACGGCCTCACGTTGCAAAATTGGTCAAAAAGTACCTGGAAACGCTGAAATGGGAAGTCTTACCCCACCCGCTGTATTCTTCAGATGTCGCCCCTTCTGACTTCCACCTATTCCGTTCGATGGCACACGGCCTGGCAGATCAACATTTTCAATCCTTCGAAGAATTGGAAAAATGGATTGCTTCATGGATAGCGTCAAAAGAGGACTCCTTTTTTCGAGCCGGGATCCGAACTTGCGGGGAAGATGGGAGAGAGTTGTCGCTAGCGAAGGACAATACTTTGAATATTATATCTGTAAGCACTTTTTCGCAATGAAGCTTTTAATTTTGGAAATTTTTGGCGGAAGCAAAGTTGTACACCTAATATCCTTTTTCACCATTATCAAGAAGGCACTTAACCTAATCGGCTTCGTGTGACCTTTATTTGTTCAGTAAAATATAGTTTTCCGTTGAAATGTCGCCTAATATTATATTTATTTGATCTCAGTTTTTGTCTGAGTTTGTAAAGCAAGCCTCCTTTGGATATACAATAATATATGATTAAGTTTCGATTTGTATACCTTTCTGAAAATTATATGATTTATTAACTTTCATCCGAAGTATAGGGTGGTTTTTTAGACGTGCATTTTTCGAACAAGCAATACTTCTTTTCGGTAGCTGTTACTTGATTTACCCTCCCCTCAGTTTGTAAGTAAATAAGCAGAACTATCGCACTCGGAGCTCCAAGAATCAAATATTGAACAATTGAACAGAGGCTATTACACCCAAAAAAAAAAAACCTTACTGTCTGGTGCGTGGTCTGAGGTGTGTTTTGACCATATTTCTTTTAAAACATTGATATCTTGGAGAATAAGTGATCTGAGATACCGCCCAATGTGTGGCAAAAAGTGGTCGAAAATTATCTCAAACAGATTGAATTTAGGAAAAAATTCGCAAGACGCTCTTTTAGTGTGTGATTTAGTGTTCTACATATAATGTCAAAGTACAAACTTAGTAATAAAAAATAAATTTCATGAAAAAAAAAATATTTTAAATGCATTCGATTTTCGTTCATTTTCGAAACTGCAAAATGTAAATAACCCAAATTGCTTACTTCGTGTTCTTGTTTTCCATGGTAACGTTCTTTTGCAGGTCGCATGGAAAATAAATGGTATGGGAGAATATGAAAAATATTTTATAAATATTTAATATTCATAAAAGTTTCTTAGCTTCAAAAATTTTTTTTTGATAATGGTTGAAAGTTGGTTATTTTTTACTTGTTGTAATCATTGGACTGTTATTTGGTTTTAAGGTTATATATTTTATTAATTTATAGATTTTTATGTGATATATTTTTTATGATATATATATATTTTTATGATATATATAAATAAAAGTCTTACATATATTAGCCTAGGCTAGCTTACTATATTTTTAATCCCAAGCCAATCGAACCATAAATATAATTCTTCCGGTTAGAGCAACCCAAAAAAAAAAAAAATATTCATGCATTCATATCCGGGTAAGGGCAACGATTTGGCCTACTAGTTCTTTGTGGGAAAGAATGCTCAGTAATATTATATTTAATAAGAATAAGGCCATTATGCTGCATAAAACTTATTTCTTAATTCATTAGACGTTGAAATAACTTAATTTAGATGATTTATCATTTTAAACTATTTAGTGAGATTCAGTAATGCTGCTTTGGTCACAATTTACTTTGGACAAGTACAAAATTAAATATTTCTAAAGAATGGATTATAATTTATTGGTATTATTATTTATCTGATGAATACTTTGTTGAATAACCCTTATTTGTTTTGGATTGTGGTGTATCTTCTCTATTAACTTGTGGCAGCTGTCAAAAGGAATAGAGTTCCACGCTTCTGCCCAAAGTTCGTCGATTGAGTTCAGAACAAGACTTCGAGCTGGCCAATCAAGAACTGAAATTTTTTTTGGGACCGCTGGTTTTTTACCACATTTGCTGTATATTTCGGATCGTTATCGTGCATAAAGATCCAGTAAAGTGGCATAACTTCGAAGGAGTATTTGAAGATATACAAATTTATCCATATTTCGTTCTACCTTAACCAATGGACTAACACCGTGTCACGAAAAATATCTCCAAACTTTTAAATTTTCTCCAACATGATTCACGGTTTCTTTTTTGTATATCTGAGACCGATTTCTTGATTTTTTTTCGCGATGTAAATCCGTTTCCCCAACAGGTCCAGTGCGTTTTATTTTCATTTCGTCCGTAAAAAAGTAACCTTTTTCAAAATTTTAAGTCTTTCGATCTTTGAATATGTATAAATGACAACGACGCGTTAATGGTTTTTTCCACAGAAGAGGTTTTTGTCGGCTGACACGTTCATACAAATTATTTTCATTCACACATCCTCGCACTAGTCTACTTGGCACATTCTAGCCCGAATTTCGAGTTGACTTCGGGCATTATTGCGCGTGAAGATTTAAGAGGATCTGATTTACTCTTCCTAACAATTAACAACCTCGCGGGAGGTTGTTTTCTGAGCCGGAGCTTTACGCATTATATTTATGAGATAACGAATTGGGATCACTTTTAACTTCTTTGACGGCATTGTACTCCATTTTCTTTGCAAAATTTAATGTTTTGGAAATTTCCAAATAATTTCTCAAAAGAACAGTAAAAATAATGTTCAAAATATATAAATATAATAAAAATAATATTTATTTCTCGCAAACTCACAACAGTACTCAATTATTTTTACACCCGATCACAAGTGATAACGGAGGACATACACGGTGTGTCCTAAAAATAACCGAACTTTTTGGATTCAAAATAAAATACACATTATATTATCTTTGAAAGTTATTATTTATTCAAAATAGGTTCCATTTGACTCAACACATCGTTTGGAACGATCAACCAACGCATGCATAGATTTTTTTATGGCTGGGATATCATCATAAAATGCTCCCTTCATCTTGGTTTTCAATTTTGGAAATAAAAAATAGTCACATGCTGATAGATCAGGCGAATATGGAGGATGGTCGATGAGGGAAATCCCTTTTTTCATTAAAAAGTTCGAGCGATTTTTTGGTCGTCTTTTAATTCATGTGGAACAAATCGCGCACAGACCTTT